CCTCCAGGAACTTTCTGTCCTCTTAAATATGTCACCAGGAACATTTGAGTATCATCCCATGATGAAAGATCAGGGAAGAGAGTTGAGGTATGAATGTGTGGGATACACAGGTGGAAGTAGACTAGTCACTTTAAAGGAGATATCTGACTACTTTGGTTAGTGTGAGGAAATCAAAAGAAAATAGGTTTTGGAGATGGTTATGGTTTAGATACGAGGTGTTCCACAAATGCTTATGTGTACGTGCGACAATGCAAGGAAATTTAGAGTTAAAATGATTGAGTTATAAGAGCTTTTACCTGATCAGTGCATTAATCCACTCATATGGATTAGCTGGGTAGTAACCATAGGCAGGTGAGGAGTGGCTGGAGGAGTGGGTCACTGGGGGTTTATATGTTGTTTTTGGTGAAAGGAGTTTTCTCTGCTTCCCATCTGTTGTGTCTGGGGCTGGTTTTCCTCCACCATGTTCTTCTGCTATGATGTTCTGTGTCACCTGGGGCTCAAAGCAATTGAGCTGGCTGACTGTAGACTGAACTTCTGAAACCATAAGCCAAAATAAACTTTACTCATCTAAGTTATTCTTGTCAGGTCTTTCGGTCACAGTGATGAAAACTGTTGACTAAAGCAGAGATCTCATGAAAATATATTATTTGAAATGCTTGTCTCATTTATGTGCTAAGTTACATAACCTGGTTGAGTCTGAGTTTTCTTATTTATGAACAGTGGATGACAATACCAGCCCAGAAGTGAAGCCTCTTCAACTTTTGTTAAACTGCCAATTTTTTTGTGTGTCTATTTGCTTTTCTGGCATAAATTCTTTTAATTTCATAGTGCATTATTAGAAACTATTCTCATTTATAAGACATATCAAGGGAATGAAAGGTGTACTTATCAATTTTTAGCAAAATTCAGGTGAGGTTTGGTCCTCAAATAGTCTTTTCATAAACATGTACTTTCTCTGGTATATTTCTAATATATAAAGTAAAATTTGCTTGTAGAAATTAAAGTATTTTTAGAAAAAACATGTAGAATCTCACCTTTATTTTATAATTTATACCATATAATTTATACTTTTTAAAGCACATCATATCAGAATTATTATTTCTACTTTTCAAAACAGGAGAGATTGTGACTCTTAAAGAAGCAGAAATGAAATTGGGACATGAGTCTGTTATTTTCCAATCCAGTATTCCATTTAATTACCATAATTTCTTCTATAAATAATGTTAATTTTTATAATGTGGTAGCAATATTGGCAAATATATTAAAGAGATTCTTGCTACTACTTTATGCCCCTCGTATGTCTGATTCTTACAGTAAAAGGTCTCAGTTTATTCCAAAACTACGTAAAAGAGGCCCACAAAATATTTTTCAGTACTTGGATTCCATAGCTTCACACATTATCACAAGAGAGTATTCAACCATGACATTTATAATTGGCTACAAACATAATCCAATATCGTCATCTTACCATATTGTCAGAGCAGTTAATTGGACTTGCATAGCTACCAGCAAAATATATTGGTTTATGCAAAGAGTGAATCTCATTTCCTCTGTGAGCTTTTCTGAATAAGAGTGGTGTAGAGAGAAGGGCCAGGAGGGAGGATGCTCAGTGTAACTTCAAAAGATCTTTTTGGATCCAAATTTCTGCTCCTGGTAGATAGATATAATAGAAGATAGCACTAATTTATTTTAATAAATATGATGAAGTGGGATAGGCCAACATATAAATAATAAATTTTATAGTGAAATTCACCTGAGCCAAAATCGGGGGACAGTGACTCATCCATTCTACTTCGCAAAACTTTTTATACCACGTCCCTAAAAACTAAGTATTAACAAAGGAAGAGGAATTTTATCCTTTGAAATTAATGCAAATCTCTCTTAAAAAATAGAACAACCACCACCTTATCTGATCACATTTCACTGACTTAAGTGTGAAGGATTTGGGTCCATGGTAATGACTAAGTTATTAGGAAGAACTTGGTTCTGTTGATTTCCAGACCCATCCTCTTTACTGTCCTGTCCTACTTTTCAGCCTCACTATTTTGCCCAGGAAAACAGTTTTACTTACTTTGTGAAGGCATGTAGTGATTAAAAGAGAATGTCATCTTCAACTTTAATCTACTGTACCTAATCAGAAATAAAAGATGAAACTCGACTCACAACAATATATGTAGGCCTTTGCAAGAGAAAATTTAATTTGTTTCAAACAAACAAGCTATAGCCTCTAGACATTTGCTTGAGTCACAGCAAAGCACAGCACTGAATTTGAAATGTGATTTAAAAGACACCTTTGATATCCTAAAATAAATAAAAGGAAAGGAAAGCCCAGGGAAAACTTTTGCAGAAAATCTAGAAGTAAGATTTTTACAAATCAACTTAGTAAAATTCTTCTAACTCCAGGGCAACCATTAACAAAGTGACTAAAAATATAGAAAAAAAATGTATATCAAGGAATAAAAATGGTAGATCAGGAAAGATCTGTTTAAGACAAAAGAAGGTAATAAAGGAGGAGTAGGGGACAAAAATTAACATCAGATATAAAGAAAACAAATAGAAGAGGTCAGATGGAACTTCAGTATTAATTGCAAATTCATTAAACACTCAAAAGGCAGAGATTGGAAGAATGAAAACAAAAAATGCCATGACCCAGCCAAAGGTGTATAATATACATGCTTTAGATTTAGAGACACAAGTGGACTGATATTAAATGGATGGTAAAGCTTATGCAGTTTAAAAGCTGAATATTGAGTAATATATAGAGTGGCTAAACTAAGGTGATGACAAAATCTACTTTAGAGTAGATGTTATTAGTGAGAAAAATTAGTAATGGTAAGTGGACTAATCCTTTAAGAAGATAGAATAATTATACATAGATACCTATCTAAGAACAGGGGCTCAGAATATATAAACGACAACAGAAAAATACTTGGTCCATAGGCACTTTAGGGACTCTATTATTTGCCTCAGTTGTCATTTTCCCCAGTGTCTGCAGGGTGTTTCCCTCTTCCCTTCAGAGTTCTGAGTGAGGTCAAACAAAGTCAAGTCCTTAGTTATTGGACATGTTAGAACACACATACACAATTTGTGAAATTTTTCTGCTCTGCTTTTTTCAAAAGTCAGGTCCAATTTTCCATACTGAGAACATGGATGTCTGTCTTTAAAACCATGCTGAGCCTGAACAAGGATGGGGCAAGCACAGAGAAAAAGCTTTTTTAATGTATTTTTAAGTTTTCTTTTCTCTCTCTCTCTCTCTCTCTCATTTCAGCATCTGATTGATTCTGTAAGCATTCAGCTGTTTTCCAGGGTTTAAAAAGTTGATTCTGATACTTTTTGCTTAAATTCTGTGGATAGTTTCTCTGCAGAGGCTTCTGTGGAGAGATGGGCCCTTGGAGATGTGTACTCCGACATATTTGCTGGTATTCTCAAAACCCAACCTTTAGTAATGGATGGGATAAATAGGCAGAAGGTCAATAAGGAATTATAGTCCATGAATAACATTATAAACCAACTAGACAATATAAATTTATAGACTTCTAGACCACCATCAACAGCAAAGTCCACATTTTTCTCTGTATCACAGGGGACATTCGCTAGTATAGCTAGGATAAACTCTATGTTAGGCCTCAACACAGACCTCAATACATTTAAAATGACTAAACTTGTACAAAGTGTGTTCTCCAGAAATCTGTGAGCTGATCCTAAAAGTTCATGAAAATGCAGGGGACCCAGAATAACAACCAAAATAAATCTTTAAAGAAAAAAAGTTGGAGAACTTACACGTCTCAGCTTCAAACTTATTTCCCACCTCAGTAATAAAAAACAGTGTGCTTTTGATATAGGTGTTGAAATGAAATTAATGAAATAGAATTGAGAATCCAGAAATAAATTCTTAACATTGATGGTCAATTGATGTTTGATAAGGGAGCCAAGGCAATTAAGTGGGGAAAAGAAAAGTCTTGCCAACAATTTGTTCTAGGACAATAGGATATTCATTAGCAAAGCAAACGAATTTGTAACCTACTTCAGACCATTTATACTGTTTATGGCATCCATAGAGGTTGGTTCCTGGTCCCCTGTGGATACCAAAATCAAAAGATGCCCAAGACCCTTATATGAAACAGCTTAGTATTTGCATATAATTTACACATATTTTCCCATTCTTTTTAGATCATCTCTGGATTACTTAAAATAACTAATATAATGTAAACGTGCATTAGTTATCTTTGTACCATAATAATGAAATATCCGATCCAGGGTACAAATGAAGTAAGTTGAAGTTTGTTTGGGCTCGTGTTCCTAGAGTTGGAAGTTCAGGACTAGGAAGCCCCATACATTAGTTAGGACCTCTGGTGATGGTGGCGCATTTTGGTGGGAGTGTGTGTCTGAGCAGACCAGCCATGTCTAGAGCCAGAAAGGTAAGAGAGATGTGGGGTGGGGACTGGTGTCACACACGGTGTGTTTGGAGAACGTGTCCTTAAATGACTAAGGATATGCTATGTGACCACATGTCCTAAAAGATCCACAGCACCTCTCAGTACTGCCACCACGGGGATCTAGTCTTTAACATTTGATGTTTGGAAGACATTACCCCTATTCAAAGCATAAAACAATGCCGTATAAATAGTTGTAACAATGTGTTGTTTAGGCAGTAATGACATGGACAAAATGATTTGTAACAATGTGTTGTTTAGGCAGTAATGACATGGACAAAATGATTGTACCTGTTGAGATGCATTTTTTTTTCCTGAATATTTTGGATCTATAGCTGATTGAATCCCTGGATGCAGAACCCATATATTTGGAAAACTCACTGCACAAAATTCATCTAAAACTAAATCACATACCTAAATATAAGTGTTAGAATTATGTAATACTTGAAAGAAACCATAGAGAAAATCTTCCATACTTTGGGATTATAAAATGGGTTTCTTTTTTAAAAATGTTTTTTAGTTATTGATGGACTTTCATTTTATTCATTTATTTATATGCAGTGCTGAGAATTGAACCCAGTGCCTCACACAAAGCTAGGCAAGTAGCGCTACCTCTGAGACACAACTTCAGCCCTATAAAATGGTTTCTTAGAGAAGACACAAAAAGAAAATAGAGAAATGGAACTTCATCAAAATCAAACAACCTTTGTTTTCAATGAATGCCATCAAGAAAATGAAGAGACAACACCCAATATAGGAGGAGGTATTTATAAATCATATACCGGTTGAGATATTTGTATCCAGAATACATAACTAATAATTCAGTAATACAAAGATGAAGAGTGTAATTTAAAAATGGCTAAATTATTTCATAGGCATTTCTCCAAAGAAGATATGCAAATTTCCACATATTTAAGTTGTACTAAATATTATTTTAAATCAATCCTATAATTGTGAAAAACTTTTTGTGTTTGAATTAAAGGGTTAACATATAAAAACTAAACACGTATAATATTCCACAATTTATGTCCTGGTTTCAAAGATACTTTTCATGTATGTGTTTGTTCTTCCATTTGACACTGTTATCCAGAAATATGGAGAGAGACCGAATATTTCTCAATCTGGTTTCTATTACCTGATAAATAGGGTCTAGGTCTTGGGAAGCTTTTGTAAATAACTATCAGAAGTAGTTTGGTGAGTTAGGTAGGTGTTATTTGGCTACCCTAAAAACAAGGCTGCTCTCTGACTCTCCATGAGCTGTGATTTACCTGTTAGCTTGGGCACTGCACCCACTGTGTTCCTAGAGAACATGGTTCTGGGAGCAGGTGACTCTGCTCAGCATCATTAAGGGAAGGGATAGGAGCATAAGGAGGAACAGAAAAAAGCTCTAGTGTGTATTTGAGATTTATGTTTATCTACACTAATTATAAGCCTGGTTTGATAATGTCCCCTGTGTATAACCTGAAGATTAACTATTTTTTAAAAGCTGTGCAAACATTCATCTCTTTTGTCCTTTGTACTGCCATTTTTCTCAAATTTCATTTTAGGTGGAGTCTCAGGGGACCAGAAGCACTATTTGAAGTTACAAGTGACTAATTTTATGCAAAGGCGATCACCATCTGCAATCCACAAAAATGTGCTAAAGAAATGTAGTAGGTATTTCTCTGAGTGGTTTACCCCTATTGACCTTCCCAAATATTTAACTAATGCTATAATTAACAGGTGGCAGATCCAATTATGCTGTAGTAGAAAAATAAAGTCACTATATATCACTATCAATAGTCTGATTAATTATCCGTAGCAATGGTAGAAGTAAACTCCCTAATTAAAAACCAAGTTTACAAGATTCCACTGAAGAAAAGGCTTTCTCCAAGCTTGATGTCTTGATATTTCTTGAAATTTCATGATAGCATTATCATCTTCACCATCACCATAATAGTCATGGAATAAATTGAGGATTTACCCAATGTATTAAAGCACTCTTTTTTGATGCATTTTAAAATTTAACTTATATAAAAATCCTATAAAGTAAGAGATACTCCTGTTACTCCCATTTTTGAGTTTTGATGAATTTAAGTTTTGATGAATTTAAGTAACATCTTACCCAAGATGTCACATGTAGCAAGTTGCCACAGTCACATTATTTTCCTGGAACGAGAGTCTGATGCCATGAATATTTTGCACTGGCCTGTCATCTGCAAGCATCCTTAATGCAAAGGTCTCAGTGCCTGCCTCAGGCACATTAATTTCTTATTTTGTCCTTGAGAGATAGTAACACCACCTAAAATGCAACTAATGAATTAATTGAGAGATGTTCTTGATCAAGAGTAATAAATTTCAGAATTGGGAGGGAAATCCAAGGTATTTATGAATTTATTGCTACCTTCCAGTGACTATCTTCTATTGTTTTTTCTTTAGCAACAGTATCTTATTATAGGAAACTGAATAACTATTATTTAATACCTATTATTATTCTGGGTGCTTTTTAGATCTTATATTGCCATCATTATAGAGCTTTTAAATTTCCCAAGGTCAATCATTTGATGGAGTTAGGATTCCCATGACATTTGTGGATTCTCAAGCCCACGTACTTACTTTTCTAAACAATATGGTCTCTCTGATGCAGATGGTGTTGTTCATAGGAGCCTCAGTGTGAAGACTAAGAAATCAAGATGTGGCACTGAGAAAGAAAGGGAATGGAAAAGTATCTGGAGGAAGTTTGGTGTCAAGCGTGGGAGGGTGGACAACTGGAGACTGAGGGAGGATCCTATAGGAATACATTTTTTCTTTCTTTCTTTCTTTTTCCTAATGTCGAACCTGAGCATGACTCCAGTGAAGGAAAGGAGCATAGTGCTACTTGTTCCAGAAATTTCTATCCATTCCTGTTCTCCCCATCCAACGATTTCAGTTTCAATTAATATTCATTGGAGGTGTCTTCATCCACCACAGCCAAATTCTTGGAGGGGGAGGGATTTCACAGAGAAATTTCATTTTAAATAGGGATGTGAGTAAGCAAGTAAAAAAGATAAATTATTTTGTGAGACCTGAATTTGGGAAAGTGGGAGTATTGGCACAGCAAGCCATCCTTCTTTTATTGATAAATTGGTACAATTTGTTGCTTGGAACTGTGAATTTTCACTCCATAGATGAAATACTATTATGGAATTTCTAAAAAAAAAAAAAGAGTCTCACAAACATTAAACATCGATAACTGATGGCATGCTCAAAGGGAAATCTATACCTGCTTTTCTGAGACCAAGATGGGAAAGTAACTTAGGGATGGTGATGTGACTGATCATGAGTGAATTTCTAGTAAGTTCTGACCGCACTGAGATCCATCACCAGGGAGGGCCAATTGTTGGCACAGAGTAGGTGCTCAGTGGAGGACTCTTGCACTGATCTTAACTCTCTGCAGCAAAAGGAACTAACAAGCCAGGCTAGATCCTCTAGCCTGCAGGTCCCTCTTGCTTCTTTTTAGTAAAATAGGGTGCCTTGAGAATCAGAAGTGGATTTATATTAGAGGGACTAAAATTTAGATAAGAAAGGAAATATGTTGTAAATAAAAAGTTCTAAAACAAAGTGAGATGATGTGGTTCATCAATATATCTTCATTCTTTCTAATTTCCATTGTATAAATAGGAGTCCGAGGCCTTTCTCTTATAGGAATTATGGCCAGTCAGTCAGAGTCCTCTCTGCCTTTGGGGGAGAAAACATAGCCAGTAGTGTAAAAAAAAAAAAATTAAAGTGGCTTAACTGAACTTACTTTGTCTTTTTTTAATCAAAAATACATTTTTCATTTTAATACAAAGTAAAACAAAAGGAAAAAAGGCAAAAAACCAAACAAAACCCACCAACAACAAAAATATCAAGCAAACAACCGCTTTGGGGATTAATAAAATAGAAGTTGCAATGATTACAGAATCTTATTTCAGGGACGTGGGGAGTGGGTGTGGGGTTAGCAGGAAGCATCTTGTGACATTTATATAGTGAAAGCAGCCCTCCCTTTAAACAGTGTAGACAGAACACCTGCACCTTATTCTCTCATGACAAACAACTACCATGACACAGGTTCAGGCTTCCTTTCAACACATCTTCTGACTCACATCACAATATTGTTATGCAGACAACACACTCCAAAGACATTGCTAAGAAGCCAGAGAAGGAAAAAAAAAAATGAACAGATTCTAGAAATGGAGACAGACTGTGTGAGAAAATAACATCCAGGAGTAGGAAATCACGGGGCAGCCTCTTGCTGCACCACCAGAATGGATTCCTGGAGAGCGCATTTTGATTACATGCCCCGGGTTTCCTATTATTTATTTCTTAAAATAAGAGGTGGGAGGGAGTTGTGGAGGCAGCAACTTAATGAAATACCACTCCTCTATGAACTTTATACTTATCTCTCCAGCAAACCTCTGAAATAGTTATTACTCTAACCTTTTCTATAAATATCGGGGGAGGGAGCTCACGTAAATTAAATAATGGATGTGCAGATAAGAAGTGGCGTAGCAGGAATTCAAACACACTTCTGTCCTTTACTGATTTTTTAAAATCCTTCCATATATGAAATAAAAAACAGAGAAAGGTGAGCATCTAACTGTATCCATATAAACTTATACTGATGCCCAACCCTTTTTATATCATCCCTCACCTTCTATATTTTTTTTACCATCATATCCTAACTTGGAGATCTGTTCCCTTACTCATTTTTCCCACCAACAGAGATTGGCCAAGGCCTCGTGCAGAGAGTATGTTGAATTATTCAAAATTATTTCTACGATCAACCTGGTCTTGGAAAAAAAAAAAAAATCTGTTCTTAAGGGAGCAGTTTTAATTTCTTTCTAAAGGAATGTAAAATAGTTGCACATTCTTTTACACTGCCCTGTAATACAGAGGCGTATAATATGAGTGATGAGCACAAAATAAGGGCACCCAACCCTGAGTCTTCCCAAAGAGATCATGCTTTAGACCATCTGGAAGCAGAGAGGAGTGCCTTCCCATCTAGTGTTATGATTTAAAGGGGACATGAGACAAAATGAGGCTATTTCCAGAATTCCCATGAGAAGGTGTCACACTGGAGACAGAGCGCTATCTCCCAATGAGCCTAGATTAGATTCCCTTCAGGGTTTGATCCAATGTTGAGCATCTGGTGAGGTAGAGCCATGCCATTTGAAAAATCCTTGTGTTCCACATGCTGGGAAAAAAAAAAAAATCAAACATCTCATACAATACCACTGTGAGAGTCAGCAAGGCACTGAGTCTGGGGAAGGGAAGGGCTGAGTCTGGTCTCTTATTTTTCCAGGGAGCACAGACAGTAGTGTACAGGATGGCAGTGGGCAGTGCCTCTCACTGATTGACTGGTTAGGCATCCCCTACCCCCAGCTTTCATCTCTACTTAACTAGGTTTAGTAAGTTACAAATTCCTGTCAATGCAAAATGACTTCTGAGTGCATAATAGTGCTTACATTTGAACTCAGGCTCTTGGACTTAGTTTTCACCCTAGGTCCAAGAGCTTGAGTATTTCTCCATTGTTGAATATCCACTGATGAACACTGATACTCACAGAGATCATCTTTCCAAGAGCTTCCCACTTCTGCCAAGGCTCAGAATTTAATAGGTTATACACAGAATTATTTTCTTTGGTGTCATAATTCAGATGTGAGGTGTCCTCACAAGTTCCTGTGTTAATGTAGAAATGTTCAGAGGTAAAATGATTGAATTATGAAAGCTGTAGGCTAGGAGTCCATCCTAATGTGAAGGGACTAGGTGGTAAGTATGGGCAGGTGGGGCCTGGCTAGAGGAGATGGGGTCACTAGGGCTATGCCATGGAAGGGTACATCTTCACTGAGACCCCTCTCCAACCCCTCTGCTTCCTGACCCTACCATGAGCTGGGCCCTTCCCCACCATGTGCTGCTCACCTTAGCCTGTCCGGAGCAACAGAGTCAGCTGTCTATGGACTGAGACCTCTGGAACCCTGAGTCTCAAAGACCTTTTTCTCATTTAAGTTATTCTTATCAGTATTTTGGTCACGGTCACACAAAAGCTAACTAAAACATTTGGTTTGACTTGGGCCTTTCTGCTCCGGTAGCATTTCACAGATGTCTACTTTGTTGCTCACACAATTGAATTTTAGGTAAATGTTTTGTCATCTGTGCTCTGGGTTTTATATTTTAGGTGGCCCTTTTCTCCCTTTAAACTGGCCAGATTTGATAAAAACGAAGTGACAATTTGGAGAAATAAAGGGATTTAGGGTAGCCAGGACTTGCATCTTGCCTATTAATCTCTATTTTTATTTTGTTTATACAAATACATTTAGTGACTGCTCCTCATGTCAGTGGCCTTTCTCAGCTAATGTGAGTAGGCACAGGGGATCTTAAATGGGGAACAAAACCTGAGAAATGCAGCTGATTGAGCTGTAGCACTTGTGACATGACTCTGTGCTCTAAAAGGAAAAAAAAAATCATTTGGGCAATTAATGAACTTTTGTTATGTTTAAAATAAGATAGTGGAAGATAGAGATGGTGATATATGTCACATAGTGATATACTTTGCTTTAAATTCTAGGATTGGGGAGTTTCATTTACTTGCAAAAACTTAGATTCAAGAATAGATAATTCAGATATTTATTAAGCTGGACCTCACAAAACATTGATAAAAATGTGGCTAATATCTGTATGCAAGGAGAATATCTAGTAATTATGTGTTTTAAGGGAGAGGGTCACATTATGCAGATTAATGAAGTTTATTTATATTCTGATGTGAAAGAATATGTATTTTT